TTCTCACCTCTACCGACAACAAAGAAATCATTGACTATGCAAAATACATTTTTAACTGCTTTAACCGCAGAGATATTACACTGAAAAAACCACCAGCTGCCCCAAAATAATCACCCAATTTTACATTTCTTGTATTTTTTCTTTTACTTTTGTTCTGTTTTACTTATTGATGTAATTTTCTAATTGTTTACTCTATTTTGTTACTTTTTTAGCTAGCTGTTGTTTATTTAAACAACATTCTTTATTGTATTATTTTCAAGATCCCAATAAGGATACGAAATCAATAAAGTTATTACTTACTTACAAATGTAGCATGTATCAATGAGGAAAATAATCTAGTTTTTACAAAGACTAAAATCCAAATGTTGAGGGATGGATGACAGCTCTGCCATCTTTAATTTCAGTGGAGCTAGAAATGGAATGAAATCCTATGCTTTGAACTAATTGCTATGAGCGGCGTTAGTTGAGGTCATGGTTTCTAGGAGCATGCCCACTTCAATAATGTTGTTGGCCCCCATTTGACATTCTCACATCAGTCGGTGTATGTTTTTTTTTTTTATGAAACCTACGCACAAGTGTGTGGTTAATGATAATGCCATGTGATATTCTAACCAAGTTTGATCAGCTTTCTCATTGCTGAGAAATCATTGGGTACACACACACGCCTTACCATCGTTGTAACGAAACAAATTGGATTAACTTTTAATATAGTTGTGTTATGTTTGGATTAAAACGCGATTTAAATGGGATTTATTTATACTCAATTACTCAATCTTAAATTAATTCAAGATTAATTAAATAAAAATGCAACAAAGTAGAAATAACATCATACATCCTGTGACTTAACAGAGAAATGTATGGAAGTTTAGAATTTACTAAAGTGTTAGGTATGGCACAGTTAATATTAATATAAAGAGTACCATACCTTCCCCCTTTACTAAACCAAAACCTGACTTCAATTCAATCAAATATTGTGAGGGTCGTCCCTTGGCAGGTTGCCGTCACTTGGTAGGTGTAAAGTTAAATGGAATTCTTAACAATGTTAACAAGAAAAACACACTCACAGACACACTCAAGTGAATACTTATTCAATTATTTCATATTTGCATACACTGTGTATACATAATTTTATTCTGAAGGATATAGTTTTCAGCTTGCGCTCTTTCAATTAAAATTAATAGAAGTCATCACTCATGTAATGCAAATTAATAAACAGAAAATTAGCACATAATAATGTGAACGTGACAATTCCCGTGTCAAAATACATTTTATGGGCCAACAATCTCGCTGGAAATAAAATCATGTGGACAATTAATTTTCATTGTGATTAATAATGCTGTAAAATAAATAAACAAAAACATTTACTAAGGTTCCAATCTGAATTCACGGAAATACAGAATTACCCATGGTAAGTAGGAATGTGTGCAAACACACTTTCACTGTAACTGTTACTGTAATCGACACAACACAGTTTGCTTTTTAAATACATACCTGAATTAAGTATCTTTTTTTTTATAAAATTAATCCAGTTTAATAAAGATAAGGGTAAATAACTTTCATAATAACCATTTACAGTGATATACGGTGAAAATTCAAATGGGGTAAGTGTTCTATGTGCATGGTTATAAAAACTTGTTCTCACCAATACCATCACAAAACAGCATGGTTACTGACAGCAAACCAAGGAAAAGTTTGACTGTGGAACAAGAAATTCACCCT